ACTGGGCGTACCTTGTCCTTGAGCTTAACCAGTTCCTTGTCGAGTGCGTGTGCCAGTTCCAGCATCATGGCACAAGGCACAGCTGAGTCAGTAGCACCTACATAAACCCGTCCCTGATCATCGCGTTGGAAGTACTTGGAGTCATAGTGACACGCCAGGGCCAGGCGCCGTCGGGCAGAGGGGTCAAGCGTGGCCACGATGTTGGAAAACGTCCGCTTGCCGTGGGGGGTGCTGTCCTCAAAAGTGTCCAGTTCCAAGGTCCAGTGGGCAGCCAATGCCATCAGGTGGCTCTTTATGTGCTGAGTGAGATAATCGCAGCGTTTCAGTTCCATTGATGGCAGCAAAGGGACAACAACCAATTTAAAACTCAAACAGCGTTTCTTTTATTTTTTTCATAAAAACTGCCCAAAATTAAAAATTTCCTGGGAGTTACGGGATGTGACTAAGACTTGACTCGGGACACGTTTGGAATATTGTGTGAAGTTCACTACAGGAGAAATGTGAACGCTTTGGAGAAAACGCAGACCATGTTTCCCAGGATGTTGCCTGGATTGGAATGTGTTAGCTATAAGGAGAGGTTGGTCAAATTTGGGATAGTTTTCACTACAGCGTCAGAGACTGAGGGGCAACCTGATAGAAGCATGAAATTAAGAGATTTACAAGGATATTGCCCAAGGTTGGAGGGTTTGAGCTATAGGGAGAGGCTAAACAGGCTGGGCTATTTTCCCTGGAGCGTCAGAGGCTGAGGTGTGACCTTATAGAGGTTTATAAAACTCATGAGAGGCATGGATAGAGTAAATAGCCAAGGTCTTTTCCCAAGAGTAGGGGAGTCCAAAGCTAGAATGGCATAGGTTTAAGGTGAGAGAGGAAAGATTTAAAAGGGACCTGTGGGGCAACTTTTTCACACAGAGGGTGGTGCGTGTATGGAACGAGCTGCCAGAGGAAGTGGTGGAGGCTGGTACAATTAGAACATTTAAAAGGCATCTGGATGGGTACATGAATAGGAAGGATTTAGAGGGCTATGGACCAAATGCTGGCAAATGGGATTGGATTAATTTAGGATATCTGGTCGGCATGGATGAGTTGGACTCAAGGAGCTGTTTCCGCGCCGTACAACTCTACAAGGAGCATGGATAATGTGGAATTTAGGAGTCTCTTTCCCCCAGGGAGCACAGGTTTATGGTGAGAGGGGGAAAGTTTAAAGCAGATGTGTGAAGAAAGTCTTTTTTTATAAAGAGAGCGTGGTTGGTGCCTGGAACATGCTGCCAGAGGAGATGGTAGAAGCAAGTACCGTAGCAACATTTATGAGGCACTTAGACAGACACATGAACAGGTAGGGAATAGAGAGATATGGACCACATGCAGACAGATAGGATTAATTTAGACTGGCACCATGGTTGGCACAGACATGATGGGCCGAACGGCCTGTTCCTGTACTGTACTATTCTATATTCTGAAACAAATATTTGGCAAATTACCTAGTAGAATGTAACATTCTGCATCTATAAAATGCATGTATTAATGGAAAAATAAATCAGAATTAATACAGACAACGCTAAATTATGGTTTTAAAAAAATAATCAAAAGCACTATCAATAAAGTAATCTTTAAAACAAATTTTAAGACATGTAGAATGATGCCTGTTTTTGGCTCTTGATAAAAAGACAGCTTGAATAGCATCTTAAGAATAAGTTTTCATTTCAGTTCAGTTAGAAACAAATTAAGGTCTTAACCATAAAAACCAGTTTATCAAATCGAAGGCATTATCCATAACAATAGTGTAGCTGCAGTGGACAGGTTTAATTAGTACAGAATGATGCTTTGCTTCAAATAATCCTTCAAAATTAAAAGCAATGTGACAATTATCTCTTTCATCCTCTCTCGCTGATCTGAGAGACAGAGGAATAGATTGTTATAATGGTACATTTAAATGAGAAAAGATAGAGGGTGACTCCAAATCTGAACTGATGGCTTAGTAGTATTATCACTAGACTAATAATCCAGATACTCAGGCAATGTTCTGGGAATCCCGGGTTTGAATCCCGCCACGGGTGTACTTTGTCAAGTTCTGGTCGCCCTGTTATAGGAAGGGTGTTATTAAGCTAGAGGGTTCAGAAGACGTTTGAGTTATAAAGATAGGCTGGGACTTTTTCCACTGGAGACTGAGAGATGGCCTTATAGAGATTTATAAAATCATGAGGGGTATAGATAGAGTCAATGGTAGTTGCCTTTTCCCTAGGATGGGGGATTCCAAGACTAGGGGACATATTTTTAAGGTGAGAGGAGACAGATTTAAAAAAAGACGAGTGGTTCATGTGTGGAATGAACTTCCAGAGGAAGTGATGGACGTGGATACAGTTATAACGTTTAAAAGATATTTGGATAAATACATGAGTAGGAAATGTTTGGAGGGATATGGCCCAGGTGCAGGCAGATGGGACTAGTTCAGTTTGGGATTGGGGTCAGCATAGATTGGTTGGGCTGAAGGGTCTGTTTCTGTGCTGTATGACTCTATGACAGATAGTGGAATTTGAATTCAATAAAAGTCTGGAATTAATGATGTGGAGGAAAACCTCATCTGGTTCACTAAGAATGAAACATTACCTGGTCTGGCCTACATGTAAAGTTGGACACTGTCTTTATTTCTTCATTTTTCTGCCTTTAAATTCTATGTTTCTGTTTATTGTTCTGTGTTTTAAGGTGGCCCTAGACAGTGGCAACACTATACAACACTTTTCCGTGTATTTTGTAAGAAAACACATGTGAGAATAAATAAATCAAATAACACGTGACTGCAGACCCATAGCAACCTGACTCGTAACCGCCCTCTGGGCAATAAATGCTGGCCTGGCCAATTATTCCCATATCCCACAAATTAATTTTTTTTTTTTTTTAAAAAGGAAATCCAGGTTTAAAAAGTAAAATTTAGATGAGCTTGAACCACACAATTTGCATTGATTAGCCTGCCAAAATGTACAAATACAGCCCACTCGAAGAAGAGCAAAGAAGTGTAGATTAAACAGAATTAGCACAGTTCTGAAGAAAAGTCATACCAGATTTGAAACATTAACTCTGTTTCTCTCTCCACAGCTGATACTGGATTTGCTGAGTTTTTCCAGCATTCTCTGGCTCTGCATCAGTGCACCGTTGTTCTACAGATATCACTGATGTGGAGATGCCAGTGTTGGACTGGAGTGGACACAGGCGTCACATGGCACCAGGTTATAGTCCAAAAGGTTTATTTAAAATCACGAGCCTTTGGAGAGCTGTTCCTTTGTCACCTGATGAAGGAGCAGCGTTCCAAAAGCTTGGGATTTCAAATCAACCTGTTGGACTGTAGCCTGGTGTCGTGTGATTTCTAACATTGCACGGTATCACATTACGCTGCAGAGAATTGCAAAGTGACCTGTATTGGTTACAGAGATAGTTGGAACTGCCGATGCTGGAGAATCTGAGATGACAAGGTGTGGAGCTGGAGGAACACAGCAGGCCAAGCAGCATCAGAGGAGCAGGAAGGCTGATGTTGCGGGCCTAGACCCTTCTTCAGAAAAACTTCAGGAATTCTTCATTTCTGAAGAAGGGTCCAGACCTGAAACGTCAGCTTTCCTGCTCCTCTGATGCTGCTTGGCCTGCTGTGTTCATCCAGCTCTATACCTTGGTATCTCTGTATTGGTTACAGCTCTTCCTTATCTTCACTTCAGCATCAGACCAGAGTCAGGAGCCCCTTAGAAAGCGGGGGAGAGAGGATATTCCCCAAACATCAGCAACTTAAAGTGAGGAAAGAGTTCAGCTGTGAACAGACCTGCCGGACAGTTTCGATGCCCTCTGATCCAGGATATCGCTCGATCAGCATTGGCACCAAGAAAACATTCCACAGGCGTTGGAAGTCAATGAGTGAGGTGTGGTACCTCACCTGACCAGACATGATACTCTTCGGCTTGTGATCAAACTGTTCAAAACAGGAAAAAAAATGTTTAAGAATGCCACCGGGTTCAATTCTTGTTCAACCTAAACACGGGAAACGGAGGTAGTAACCTGCATTTAAATAGCACCTTTAATGTCCGAAGATGTTTCGTAGCGGAGACCCAGGAGAAACCCAACCGACACTAAGCCATGTCAGGACATACTGGGGCAGTTGACAGACAAAAGACGATGATTGAAACTCGAATTAGGGGGCCATAGCCTCAAAATAAGGGGGGAGCAGATTCAGGGCTGAGCTGAGGAGGAACTTCTTCACCCAAAGGGTTGTGAATCTGTGGAACTCCCTGCCTAGGGAAGCAGTTGAGGCTTCCTCGCTGAATGTTTTTTAAGGCAAAGATAGATTTTTGAACAGTAAAGGGATTAAGGGTGATGGTGAGCAGGTGGGTAAGTGGAGCTGAGTCCATGTAAAGATCAGCCTTGATCTTATTGAATGGCAGAGCAGGCTCGATAGGCCAGATGGAACCTACTCCTGCTCTTGTTTCTTATATTCTTATTTTTCACAGCGCCTTAAAAATAGAGAGGGGGAAGGGATAAGGAGGAGGTATTCCAAAGCTGGGAGGCTGAGCAGCTGAAGGAAATTGTAAAATGAACACTAATAAAACAAGGGTTTTCCTCTCTCTCTACCCCTGCCTACCTTTGACTGTTAATATTGCCCATAATGGGCATTGCTTGTGATTACTCAACTGGACACATGGGTGTTTTTACTGGTCGAGGTTACGAATTTTAAAAAAAAAAACAAAAAATGTCAGTTTTGATGGTGGGAAGGTGCTCAGTTATAGAGTTATAGAGTTGTACAGCATGGAGACAGACCCTTCGGTCCAAGTCGTCCATGCCGACCAGATATCCTAAATTAATCCAGTCCCATTTGCCAGGTTAGTAAGAACTGCCAATGCTGGAGTCAGAGATAACACACAGTGTGGAGCTGGAGGAACACAGCAGGCCAGACAGCATCAGAGGAGCAGGAAAGTTGACGTTTCGAGTCAGGACCCTTCTTCAGAAAGCTCCGCCATTTCTGAAGAAGGGTCCCGACCCAAAACGTCAGTTTTCCTGCTCCTCTGATGTTGCCTGGCCTGCTGTGTTCATCCAGCTCTACACTGTGTGGCTGTGGCCCATATCTTTTAGCACATTGGCTGTCAGACAAAAAGTGCAGTTCCCTGCCCTATCCCTGCAGCCATGCAAGTTAATTTGCCTTAACTTCCCACCAAAGCCCTTTTTGAAACTACTGACCATAAACTGCCAAACGCTATCTGTTTCTTCAGATCAGACAGCCTTACGGTGTCATTTCCTGCTGTACAGTCCTTCGTATATTGCGGAACTCAAAAGACTGGACACAATTCCTCAGCTGTGACCAAACTAACCTCCACATTTATTCTATTACAACAGCAAGTCAGAAGGACTTAAGTGCTTGTAAAGCAAGATAGGAAGTCCTCAAGACCTGATGTCAATTGAAATTGCTCTTTCAATTAAGGTCATGCAGAGCCTACATGAAGACTCAAAATGCAACTTGATGCTTAATTATATAATTCTTGCCATAAAACCTAATATTCCACTTGCGCTCTTTAAATGGCCTTATTCACTTCAGGTGCTGCTTTTAAGAAATCCCTCTGTGAAGGCAAATCAGCCCCTCAAACCTGTTCCACATTTCAATAACTTTTGCATCTGTATCTCAACACTATCACCCATCCTTCTTCTAATGTGTATCCCACACCTTAATGGTCAGGAGGCCAATCAGCCCATCTATTCAGTGATGTCGAGCAGGATTTCCCAGAATGAGGGGTTTCGGGACCCTCAAATGGGGGTTGTGAGCTCCAAATAAATATTATAGTAGCTGAGGGGGTCCTATGCTTCACAGGCTCTCTCTGTCCAAACCCCACTCACCGCTGCTCTCACTGAAAGGTTGTGACAATTATCCTGCCCTGGAAACGGGGCCACAATGAGAAAGGCTTTAGGGATGCATTACTGTACAACAATCCAGTCAGATTCATTTTCTCTGCTCTAGCCCTGTATCCTTGTCACCTTGCCTCCTCGCAAGAGTCCATTAAATTATCTTTGGAAATTACTCTTCGTCGCGACAATAATTACAGCATCTTCCAAGTCATTACCTCCCGCTGCATAAAATATTTCTTCATTTCTACCTCCCACCCCGACTTCTTATGTCCAAACCCTAAACCATCTCTCGTCTTCCTTGTCCTATCAATGACGAACAGCAATGGTCTACCTTATTTAGGTCTGCTGTTAATTATGCACCTCGATCAAATCTCTCCTGCAACCTTCGCTCCTAACCCCAGCCTCTCAACTCAACTCTGCAGCTAAAAATCCCCATCCCTATAATCAACCTGGGACAGCTCAGTGGTTAGCACCTCTGCCTCACAGCACCAGGGACCCGGGTTTGATTCCACCCTCGGGCAACTGCATGTTCTCTCCATGCCTGTGTAGGTTTCCCCTGAGTGCTCTAGTATCCCCCTCATGGTCCAAAGATGTGCAGGTTAGGTGGATTTGCTGTGGGAAATGTGGGATTGTAGGGGGTCAGGTCTGGGTAGGATGCTCTGCAGAGGGTCAGTGTGGACTTGATGGGCTGAGTGGCCTGTTTCTTGAGACTGAGAGAAGGAGTGGCTCACCTATGGAACCTCTGCCACAGAAACCAGATAAGGCCAAAACATTGAACGTTTTCAGGAATGAGCAAAGTACTGTTCATAGGCCTAAGGGGATTAAACGGTGTAGGAGAGAAAGTGGGAACAGGGGACTGAGTTGGAGGATCAGCTGTGATCATACTGAATGGGGGAGCATGCTGGAAGGGCCGAATGGCCTAATTCTCCTACTTCCTATCTTTCCAGTTGGCCAGCGACTCCACACAATTGACAAGAGGAAATTACAACATGCTACCCCAAAATTACACCAACGTTTAATCAACCATCTGAACGTATCCATATTAAATTGGCTAAGAGATGCATTTAGATTTAGACTTAGACTTTAAGGTTAAAATTGAATGCATTTCGAACAGGAAAGAACTTGGGCGAGTTGCAATTTTGGGATTGCTCAGGTTACGTTGTTGCAGTTTAAAACGTTGCTAATTTTGTTTCCCCTTAAAAGGGCTAGGTGCCACGTACCTTGCGCTGGGTCCAATCCTCCACTGTTACAGATGGCTGTTCGGCTGTGAAATATAGACCCGAGGAGATGCAGAGGACAGCCAGGGCAAAAGAAGCCGAGAGCAGGACCACCATCCAGGGAATCCTGTCCAGGTTGGAGCGTATGTCTGTTCGGGGGACACGACTGTTCTTGCCTAACTTAGCCATCACGCCCTGGAAACGTTATGTCAACGTGGGCTCAGAGCTTAATCTATCTTAATTTTTAAAAAAAGGGACACATTTCCTCGCCCGCCCCCAGCGACACACACCCTCTCCCCTTCCTCTTAAAACGAAACCCAAAATGGGATTCCTAAAAACAAAAGGGATTTCTGAACATCAGCTCCAGCCGCTCAGTTTCTGCACTGGCATTCCCAGTTTGTACTGAGCGGCTTTAATATCCTTGTCTGACTTAATTCCAACCCAGGGCGCAGGATGATGACATTAGAGTGGGTGTGGGTGTAAGTCTATTCGTAAAAGAGAGAAATAGAAAGGCACCACCCTGTGGGCAGGCTCTGTTACAGATTGACACCTACCCTCAGTCATTAACGTGGAGAACAAGCGTGGCGTTGCAGTGTGGCCATATGACACTTAGGGTTAAGTCAAAGCTGACCCCTAACTGCCCATGAATAAAAACCGAAAGAACTGCGGATGCTCTAAATCAGAAACGAAAACAGAAATTTGCCGGAAAAGCTCAGCAGGTCTGGCAGCACCTGTGCAGAGAAATCAGAGTCAACGTTTCGGGTCCAGCGACCCTTTCTTGAAACCTTAGCTCTGATTTCGTTCCACAGGTGCTGCCAGACCTGC